GAAAAAATAGATTTTTCATATGTTTTACTATGTGATCGACAAAAATTACGTAGACTTTTGTCCAGTGAGTGTATACATTTTGGAGGGATGTTTACAACATTATTAAAAATGTAAAAAAAGGATAAATCTGATGTCAATGTGTGGAATTCTGTTTATTATAATAATGTAAAACCGTTATCACGTCTCGAGAAGGAGAGTAAATACTCTAGTATACTCTTACCTACTGGAGGTCTGCCTAAACCAAGAAACAGCTACGATTTGGATTCAGCTGCAGGTATGTTATGCGTTGGTACTAGTACAAATAGAGTCAATTTACAATATTACAATATTAACACATTTATTTCTTATAATTTAGCAACTCAAACTATTTTTGAATAGACTCGTAATTTACCGTTTATTGTTATTGCAGTTTGTTATTATATGAATTTTATTCAAAGGTTTGAATTATACGATGTGCTTCTACATATGTTAATATAGATGAATTAGCAAGACGCCGAAATGAAGTTACGCATGTTTACCATTAGCTGCCTTTTCCGGGCAGAGTATTAGAAATATAAGAAAATTATTAATTAAAAGTAAACATTGAAAACCAATTATTTGAAGTTTATAAATAAATACGTAGTCATGTTTGCCTGGACAGTGAAGCTTATTTTCAATTTCAGCACCGACCGGCCGGATGATGCGCAATAATGTAATATACTACCGGATATTGCTATTTACGCAAAACTTTGATAGACGCGATAGTGTACTTTATGTCTCGAATGCAGATAGGAACCCCTGTGAATACGATAAAGCAGAAAATGTGACATTTCTGTAAGAATTAAATCTAGTTGATGTTATAAAACAATATTCGATACTGAAGTATTCGGATATAATAACGATCGATCCTGATCATTTTTAATTATTACGAAACTCTTTTATTTTATTATTGTTCTATTTTTATCGTCGCTGATACCAGTTTTGAAAAGTAATAATGGCGCTCATTTATAACTTATGTCTTCTTAATTTTATTGTTCACCCTATCATACCAGAATGAGATGAATGTATTAATATAGAATTATTTTTTTATAAAAAAAAATAATATGAAACTAATTTACATTGAATTCACTATGAAACCCAAGAATTACAAACAAGGAGAAAAAATTGCCCCTTATGTTTTTAAAATCAATAGTACTGTTCTTATTCTGACCCATTTCCGAATTTATCTCACTTCCGAATCGGATCAGAATTGTTGTATGTGATGGTCGACGTACTCTACAGTGTCCAATAGTACACCTGAACAAGCTAGTATAACAAATATGAATAAACATAATATTTCTAAGCCAGCAGTTAACACAACCAGAATTCGCTGAATACTAACATTGGCCGTTCAATTTTTTGACAAGAACATAATTAGGAAACGAAAAGAAGTAAATATTCTCTATTACTCTGCGCCCCCTCCCACTACTACAGTACTACTCACTCACACATATTTCAGCGGAATAAAGCACATTCTCTTTAATGGCGCATTCACATACTCTAGTAAATGTCTAAGATTCCTGAATATGTTAATTACAATATTGCTACAATTAATTTTCTGGGAGTGCAAGCTGTATTGATGTTGAATGTCTTTTTGTAGCCAGCGTGTGTAAATCTCGTTGTATAGAACAGATTACATTGTACAAATTCTCTCTGACACAAACGGGTTTGTTATTTCTTTCGAGCAGTAAAAATTTTCACTTTGTTAATATGCATTACGCTGAACGTTTACAGTACTCGGTGTTTGTGTCATTAATTTACATTGGTATCTGAACGCTAAGAATGCGTCAAAATGGCTTTTGCGCGATGATTGGGCATATAGTTTATTATTATTCAAATATAGTGCGAGAGATAAAGTAAAATGATATTAGACATGTTTGTTTTTCTAACGATGCGATGTTAAGTAAAAGACACTGAATTGCAATATGGTTGAATATACTTAAGTTTTTTTTTTGAAAGATTTAATAATAATAATAATTCAATAGCATTTTGTTTCCTCAACAACAAAGCAAGATATTTGGCCAAACTTTTTTATATTCGATAGTAGTTTTCCAGCGCTTTCGAGTGAATGTAAATTTATGTACATTTATTATATTAATTAAATTTTTTAACAATTTTAAATTTTAGGTTAAGTAAATAAATCAACCTTAGCTTTTTCGGGACACAAAAGTTAGTCATATAAAATAATATTATATTACTGACTAACATACAGTATTAGTCTCACTGTAATTGCATTGCTCGTTATGTCACATTTACATTTAATTGTAAATTTAGGAGGTAGGCCAGTAACTATCGAACAATATCTCCTAGATTCAAAGTTATATGTGGATTAATTTTTAACGGTTGTTTAAATATTCAACTCGCATAGCCTAATTATAACGTTTTTGGTAAGATAAAAGTCGGCGTTAGGTAAATTTGCAATTATACTATCTATAATATCGCGACGTTTTGTTCACATATTACGTCTAAGGTGCGCTAATTCAGTATTACTTTTACGGCAATTGCGTTGCCAATGGTCAGTGACCTTTGAGACGGCACTGTACTTCAGTTGTATCACACCTCGAATATGTCCCTAAAAAAGCTCTATCTCAAAGTGGGGATATAAACAAGGTAAGACTGTACTTATTTTTGTTTTCAATTCCTCTCTGTTTTTGTGTTTGTGTGGTTTTTTTTGTATTTTCTTGTGTTAGTGTTGACTATTTTAATCTCATTGTCGACGCGATAATGGCCAATATAACTAATATTAATAATAGGAAATTTACTAAGTTATGTAGTTAGATCCTAGATCGATCAAGAATCTGCTAATGAATTTTTTGTTGTTTTTGTTTTTGTTTTAAATTTAAAGTTTATTTAGCAATTTAATATCTCGTCTATAATTTAAAAACCTTGTAACGATAACACTCATCTAATGAGACTGCCTTCCTGCAAGTGCGCAATCGCACTTCTAAATTTAACGAGACAATTAGTTAATGGCAATTACCAAAACTCGAGTACACATAAATACATAACAACCATTACCCAAGAAATCAGTCTTTAACTGAAAAAGAAACTGGCAGAAATTCTGGAACATGGAATCAACGAGTAAATCGTTGAATCGAACAATTTATGCAATCTCAAATCGTTGTGCAGCCCTATCAAACAGACTGGTTTTCAGATCAAGGTCTTGCAGGAACATGTGAGTCGGAGCTACTTCTTTCAATTGACTAGATATAATGCATAGATCGAATACCAAGACGTGAGATTTTTTTTATGGATAAACAAAGTCGTTAACAATGCGAGATTTGATTAATAAAGGAATATATGCAAGGCGGTGCGTTTGGGCTAAACGAGTACTCTATTCTCAGACCCCTGCAGTAAATTCAACGCACCTGATATATCTGTTGATAACGTCTTCCGGCTTTCCCAAAAAGCCTGATACTACGATAAGATTCACCAAAGTATCTGGATCATCATTATTCTAAACATACATAAAGGATAGTGTTATCGCGTGATCTCAGCCAGCAAATTCGACAGCAAAACTCTATAACACCACATTGCCGATCACGAGTCATTTCCTGTTGACACACCTTGTTCAAAGCATCGAGCAAAAGGCTTTCCGCTTCGGGATACCGTCCGAGATGAATATTAGCAATAGCTTGTCCGTTTAGAATTTTCACAGTATTCGAAGATGGCGACTGAGCTATTTCTTCATAAATATAATATGCTTCTTGATATTTATCACCACCCTAAAATAATATGAGACATGTAAGATGAAGGGTATTTCTATGTTCATAAGAGTCAAACGTTCCGAAACGCTGATACTCACCGTCTTCAGCCCGACCCATGCTTCCATCAGTTGAGCAAGCGTTGCATCTTCCGCCCACGTTTTAGCGGATGCAAGTTCACGCTTGGCGAGATCAAGACGGTCAAGTTGGATATAAATTTGGATAATTAAGGCAACGCTGAAATTATACAAATAAGGAAACATATTAGCTAAATAAACCAGAAACAATCGTAATTGATTGTATAGACTGATTAAAATTTTTTGCGGCCGGGCGAGTTCAGTTCTAGTCATGATACCATGAATTGAACAGTCTATGCCATGTTCAACGTGTCTCTATTTCGATGATGCACCGACCATATCCAAATAAACATACTTTTCCAAGTTCTTATTATTCCTTACTAAAATCCTCAGCGCATCCTCCAACAAGCCTTCATGCACCATAATCGTAGCCGAAACAATCTGCACTGTTTGATTTGCCGAGTTTTCACCAACAATGTCCTTTACTTCCTTTACAATCTCTTCTTTCTTTGTTGCGTCATTCTTGTCCTTTGCTTGTAGGTACAATGCAAGGAGTTTTACCGCGCGTAGATCGATAATGTCAGAGTCTTTCACGTCAGAGATTACAATGTTGTACTTTTTTTGAGCAATATAGGCACGGTATAGATAGACTTTACGTTCCTGATTTGCTGATTCAGAAAGGGGACTGCGAGAATTGGCTTCATTTATTACTTGTTGATAAGCGCCTGGGTTGTTAGGGTTATTCGATAGAGTGTGGGTAGGAGTCAGATCTCTGGATAAGTAGCAAAGATATTTGCGGAACGAGGCATACCAGTGTAGAAGAGGTTGCGAAGAGCGAAAAGTTCATCCATTTGGTGTAAACGTTATTATTATAGTGAATACTGAAATGTTTTTGCTGTAAAAATCTGAATTTTGGGTGACGTAACGAATGTTTGTTGACAACATACTAATTACCTTGCTATTACGAGAATGCGTCAATGCTGTTATTACTTTGGAGACTCAACGACAAATCACGTGGTATTTCAACTCTCTTTCGAAAACATTTAAATTGTTTCTCGTTCTTTATTATTATGATGGTTTTTAAACACATACTTCTTTAATTTGATCACATGATAAATTTGTAAATAAATCAACACACGAAAAGTGCACCAACGTTTCGACAGCTCCCCACCCAAATAAAAATGCCGGCATTACGAACGATCGGGACTCAGAAAACCAAACATGAGCCTGTCCTCCTCAACATTGGACTGGCAGTCATCCGTAGTATAAAGAAAGGTCTAGACGCGATCAGTGATCCCGAAAGAAAATACTGCCGTCCAGCACTTGCAAAGTCTCTGGACTGGCCCGAGCTCCCAGGCAGCTACCCAAATCTTCGTGCCGCCTGGATAACAAAGAAATACGCTGCACGCTGGTTGAAGGTTGTTGAATTGCAGCGAGAATTAAGACACAAGGCAGATGAATTTTCCAGACGCAAAGACAAATTACAAAAGTGGTTCGAGAGATGGCAGGACAAATTAGATAGAGTGAGGCTACGTCGGAAAGCACATCTTCGGCATAAGGCGCCCATGAGCGGGTACTCGTGTTGTGACGATGATTCAATGGACGCATATCTTTTGAAGAGTTGCTTGAAAGACCCTGCAAACCCCAAAACGGTTAAATCGGTATCTATTAGCCCAATAGTCGATGAATATATTTACGAAGATGAACATGACATAAACTATATTGTCATTGCGGGGGATGATGCTGGAGAATACGATTCTACTGCTGAAGCAATAGCCGAGTTATATCGAAAGACGTATGAATATTATTGCGAATTTGTAGCTTCGAGTCCCGTCTTTTATCAAGCTATGGAGCAGATTTGCTTTGGATATCATAAAGATAATCTGACGCTGCTCAAGCTTATATAAGAATTGTGTAATTTGTCTGAACAATATTTCGTATTATCTGCGATTGGTTATTACTATACCCAACGCGTTACAATACCACTGAAAGAACTCGGGATCGAGCGGATTTTCTCTGAATATGTTGCGCAGACTTGTGTCAAGAGACATGCGGATTTGTCAATAATTCAATTGACTTTCTTAATTAACATGATTCGTGGAAGTGATAATGCTTTTGTTGACCCAATGTGTCAAGTAATGCATCTGCTTTGGAATAATCTATTAAAATGGAATTTTTATGTCCAAAGTCAAATATGATGATCTGTGTTTAGAAGCGTCTAAATTTGGGATGGTCAAGTGTCAGATCAGTTGGTTCGTCATTCAAAATTGTCATGCAGCACCAATTTAGCTCGAATAACTAACGCGTAGTAATAGCTACCGTACAAAATCATATATGTAACAAAGAGTTATATTCGATAGATAATATAGTGAATACAGATATACAAAAAAATTCTTTATTGGAATAGCAGGGCGTCTCAACTATCATTCGCTTGCGGTCAACCGCATGCCTGCATGTAAAATTAATGTCAACGAGAATATGTCACTCCTTATCTTTTAGATTGACAACTTTGGTTTGACTGTCAAGAAGCAAAACTCAATCTCAATGCTATCAGACTAACTAGTTCTTTTGCTTTGTATCTCTTTTTACTCCATACATGATCTAACTAATAAAATTAATTTATTATTATTCCTTCATTCATATTAATACAAACATTATTTGGTACTCGACTCTAATCGTGCATCGAGCCAGTTTCATCCATTTTAACAAAGTTTCTATTGTCATCAAACTCGTAACCAGACGCCTTGCTCTTTCGTCTCCAATATAACCATTGACGGAAGGAAAAACTGAAAAATATTGCAAATATGGTACTGATGTATACATAGTATGCGACGTACCAACCCATCGTAACTTCAGCGAACAGCCGGAGTCCGAGTTCTATTTGGATGAGGACTAAAATGAAGAGAAGACGGCCGACCCACCTAGAAGATCAACGATAATTGAATAGGTAAGAAAAGCGAGTGAAAGGATGTTACAATCAGTACATGACATAAATTCCATAACACGAACAGAAAACGAAAGAGTTGTCGATACTAACCAGTGAACTTTTGTCCATATTGGAACATACTCGCGCCTTTTGTCAAACATAACATGGTGGAACACTCCCAGTCCTAACTGTGCTATAAAACCAATAATAATGACATATCCCAGTTTCTAATGGAAACAGATCAGAATAATATATAAGCCTTCTCATAGAAAAAACAATCGTCCAAATTCAGTCAACGACAACAAAATTGTAAACATACGTGATGAGCGTGTTCGTGTTGTAATCCACCCATAGCCAACACAGCAAATGTAAATCCAAGAATGACGCAAATGGTCGTTACGAATGCTTGAATTCCCCAATGTAAACGGAACCAGCTATTAGGTAAAGCTTTCTTGCCAAATCGAGCAATGAATATCGCCAAGGGGGTTGCCACTGCCCATGCAAGCAACATGAATATAGCTGAATAGAGGAGCGAACGGTATCTCATGAGCTTAAAAGTCCTCATACAAAGCCAAAGTAAAAATATTTTCATCACTAGTCAGAACATCTTGAAAAACGCGAAACTCACCATGTATAGTGAGATACTTATCGGTGATACCCTGACCACCCTGCCCGACGTCCAACTCGGTCACCCCCATATGATCAGCCTGATGCTGCTCCAAAGTGGCGTTGTATTCATCAGAGGGTCGACTGGGTCCAATAGCATAAACAAACCATTGCTTCCCACCCGTTTGTATGGTGGAGTCCTCGACGGTCACGGCACGTCGAATAACGGCAACAAACTTGCCGTTTTGAATGCCGCTGGCTTCTGCATCGAGAATGAGATCGCTTTGATTAGGTGTCGGATCCGGTTCGTAATAACCATTCGCTTTACGTTGAGAGACGGTTACATTGCCACTAGAGTTTGGCCAGGCAACCTATGCAAAAGAGAAAAGGATGTGAGCGTTCAATGTGATAAAGTGACGGAACGAACGATGAAAGCTTCAGGATTGTTAAATAATACTCACTATTAGATATGAAGTAGTCATATATTTTCCGACCCCAATGCCAGCCCATCTGTGATAAAAATGAAATTCAATCCTTTTTGTTCGGGAAAAACAGCAATTCGATTTAGTTTGGGAATTCGTTTCAAATGACGTACCCAACGTTTGCTGGTGCTTCCAATCTAAATTCAACGTAATCTTTTCCATCATTAAGAGGGGATACCGTAGGAGATATCGTGAAGCAATACTTCAACTGTTTATTGCAAAAACCAAACACGCCTAAATTTAAAGTCACCAATCAGTATATTATTTGCATTCTTTTGTTTTCAACGCGATTTCCGTTTTACCTTGAAGCGCAAACACTACAATAGCCACCAATATACCAAGTCGTTGTTGTACCTTCATTTTGCGCTACTGTTATCATTAAACGTAAAGGGGGAAGGAAGCAAGGAACTGTCAGTCTCTGCGTAGCTGTTATATCCTAGTTTAACAACCATGTTGTGACAGGTCATCCAACATTGGACACCTAATATTACAGGCGAGCTATTATTGGCAATCTATATATAAAGTTCATACGGAGTTTGTAATAATGACAGATAAGTAATTTGTGTCATTGATAACAAGGGAGATAAATTGTTTACAGCTAACTTGAAATTGATGTTTGTGAAACTCTGGAAATTCGGCCCGGAATGTGCTATACTAATTTGGAAAACGCAGAAACTGTAATTTTATACTCCTAAATTAACAAAGAAAGTGTGACAGATATAAATTTAGTTACAACCACAATCAACATATTTTTAACAAACGTTTCAGCGACGACTTTGGAAGTATATTGTCAATTTACAATCAGACCTTCCTAAGTGCAACTCGGCGGGAGACATAGGAAAAAAACTGATGAAGCTTGCACTTGGAGAGGTATTGCACTTATGGAGGGTGAAATGCTTATATAGCTTATAAACTTGGGATTGAACCAGACTTTGCGCTTAGAGGGGTCAAACTTAGTAATTGCACTTAAGGGGTTGCACTTAGAGAGGTCCCACTGTATTTTGATTTTTTTGGTACAGAACATCTAACGACCAAATTACAAAGTTAAAAAGTTGCGAGTATGCGATTCAATTGTATCACCTTTGATCCGTGTGGATGTAACGTTGGGAATGCTCTCCGTTAGTATTAGTGGCATCTTATTCAAACATGTCGTTAGCATCAGGGACTATTAAGAATCCAGCAATTGACAACTTGATCGAATCCTCCTTGGAAAGTGAAAATGAATACTTGAGACTGAAATGGATTCCTTACGAAGAAATCACCAACATAAAACCAACTCAAATTGACAATATCTATTACGCTAGTCTTGACGATTTTAAGAAAATCCTGGTATTCCTTGGAAATGGCGAAGAATGTACACCAATTCTTGTGAGTGATCTTGCAAGAATATACGCACTTCCAACACACGAGTACAATAGTAACGACAACTTCAAAAGATACAAAAGATGGCTTGAAAGTCGCAACCAACTGATAGAAGGATTCACCCGGTATGAAGATAATTATTACATGGTTGCTGATAGAAAGTTTTATCATTACTATTCTCGATACGGATTCTGTGCTGCGTGTGGAATACTCCGGTGTAGTCCCGTGTGGTGCATTTGCAGTCATAAAGAATTATTCGATGGATGGACCAGCAACAATAAGCGACTCGACGAGTTAATCAAGAAAACTCAATTACAAACAAACTCACCAAATCAAGCCTATTTGGAATGGATTCCATTTGATTGCATTCGCAAAGTGACATATAGCATATATTTGGATAGTCTACCTATTCCTAATGATGTAACTGTTAAATTGATACCGCTTGAGATAACAGACGAGACACATGATTTATATCATGCCGAGGTAAACCATTTACTTATGCGTCATGTTTATTGAATAGTTTAAATAATTATTGACTTGTCATTTTCACTAGTTATGTCATAAGCATCCAGATATTCTTGCCACTGATGTTTGGATTACCATCGGATTCACATATGATACAAGAAAGAAAAATAAAAGATATTGTCTAATAAATTGTGAGAACGGATTATGTCTATCATGTACACGGCCATTAAATTCCAAGATAAATGCATTCTGTTATTGTTGTAAAGCACCGCGACCTCTTGATTGGACTACAGGCAACAAGTCACTGGATTCATTTATCATGGAGTCATGGAGTAATACAAAAAACGTATATGATGTGTATATACAATGGATTGAATATTCTCTTTTGACAAACATACGAGAAATGACCTCACTACGCAATGGATGCACACATATAGCAGATTGGGCAGCAGATGAATTGACCCGTGTGACACTCAAAAAACTAGCTGGCAAACAAAGCGATAAGTTGTATGATTTTCATCAGGTAAATTATTTCCCGTGTTAAAATGCAGATGATATTATTTATTATTGACGCATGTTAAAAGCGGATTATTGTATTTGTTTTACTCGAATAGCTAACTGAGGAATACCCAGATATATTGACACCAGATAATATTTGGATAATTGGGATCACTGGGGATCCATCTATTCGGGAATATTATTTAGTTTTCTACCAAGACATACACTCACTGTTGGATAGATGCGAACCAATAAACCTATGAAGTACATGCAGTATAATGACTTTGATGAATTCAAAGAATTCGGATCTGGTGGCTATGGAACGGTTTATACTGCCAAGTATAAAGGAAAACAACATGCAGAGGAAACTGTTGTACTCAAAAGGTTTAAGAGTTTTGCGCCGGAATTATTTATTTCCGAGGTAAGCAGTAATAGTATTGGTACTATTAATCAAAAAAAAATTTTTTTATTTTTTTTTAACCTATGAAAGGTGATATTTAATTTTGACGCTTGTAATTATTTTTATCTAATGCTAATAGTTAAAAAATCATGCCAAGTGTTCGCAGTATCCGTCATTCCTTAAAATTTATGGATACACACAAGACCCAGAAACAGAAGAGTGCATGATTGTTATGCAATATGCTAACAGTGGTAGTCTTTTGTCTTATTTGGATCAAAATATTAACAATTTGACGTGGAAGATGAAATTAGAACATTTGAAAAATATTGCACAATATCTATATTATATTCATCTTGCGGGATTAGTGCACTGTGATCTTCATGGCGGAAACATAGTTTTTAAAGATCACAATACTCCCCTGATATGTGATCTTGGCCTCTCGCGATCGGTGAATTCAAATGAATCAGGCATTCGAGGCATTCTCCCTTTTATCGCACCGGAAGTCTTTCATACCCGCAAATTTACTCAGAAATCGGATGTGTATTCTTTTGGTATCATTATGTATTTGATGGCCACTGGTGAATTACTTTTTAGAGATAGGGAGTTTGATGCAGCTTTAATACATAATATTATGGACGGATTACGACCACCGATGCCCGATTCTGCACCAGAGAAATACAAGAAACTTGCCGAGCGATGTTGTGATGCTGATCCTGATAAACGTCCAACTGCACTTGCGCTTTCTGTTGAAGCTAGCAACCTTATTCTTAATGAGGATAAGTATGAGGATAACACGTGGAATGCCGTTTATCGTAATGATGTTAAACCCTTGTCACGTCTCGAGAAGGAGAGCAAATATTCTAGTATGCTCTTACCTATTGGTAATCTGCCTAAACCGAGAAATAGCTACGATTCTGATCTGTTGCCTTCTCCCTTATCAGATTTGAGCTTGCTTGACGAGGATTAAGAGGGGGTCGCTTGAGTTCAGCGCGCGGTTACGAAGACAGCAATAGTTCCGTTCATAAACAAAGTCAATTTACAAATATTGTTTTAGCGATCCAAACATTCTTTGAATAAACATGTACTTTGCAGTTTTGAATAAATTAAATGTGTTAAGCTAAAAAATTCGTGCGCGTTTCCTGCTAGCTACCTTTGCTGGGGTAGATCATTTGAATATGTAAGAAATATAGGGTACATTTTATGAAACTAGTAGTGAGTTGATGCTGATCGTTCTTGGATAAAAAAATGCGTAGCAACGGTGAATATTTGTTTTCAATTTTTTTTCTAAATGACCATTACACCAATAAGGCTCAAATTTTATTCCATTTGGATATTGATCAACGTTGTTTGTAGCCTTGATAGATGCAATGATCATTTCATGACTAGAATGCAGACAATATCCTAGTACTATTCTATCGCGAGAGAACGGGCGGTAGAAGTTAACCGATGTTGAACCCGTTAGCGATAAAAAACCTGCCAGATCTTGCAATCACCACTGCTACTCGATGGTATTATGATCAATCAACCCGAATGACATATTGCAATGCCGTAAAAACTATGCTGCAAGTTTAACGGCATCCAGCAACGGAAATAAAAATTGCCATACGCCAAGTGTGTCAATTACAGATGCCGAGATCATATCAATTATGCTAAATAGTTTTTGGTCTGCACCATTCCTAACCTCTGGCCGAGAGTCTAACTATATGAAACAATAACAAATCATAATGCATCATTGTTCTTTGGGTCAATAATGTGTTCTATGTCGCGGACCCACGAAGTATTCTTCCGTGTGGACTGACCCGTAACCTTTTTTCCAAGTCTGCTCGTTCTGCCCGAATAAAATCAGGTATCCCATAATAAGTAACACTGCAAGACCAATCCTCAAATCAACCATCTGTTGCCCAGATTGAACATATTAATGAATTGCTTTAAGCATTTGGGGGTTAAAGGCACAAGATTGTACTTGACACACGAAACTGCACCCCCATTTCCAACACTTGAACTATCACTAATTCTCTTCTCCGGTTCCTCCATGTGACAAGGACCAACGCGTAGACTTTTAAAACCGAGTTTGAATAGGATGGTCTGTCTTTATCAAGCAATTTCAATCTATAGAGAAGGAAGTAGAGAATTAGCAAAAGACAAGTAACCAATAATTCGACAAAAAAAAATACCGCAAACTGCGGCATGAATGCTTACTCTAATTTCATAGTCCATCTCAAAGTAAGGCACACACATCCCAACGTCCATCAGTCTCCAAACTTATCTTCTGTGCTTCTAAGTAGAGCTTAGCACGTGTTTGAATCCACTTGCTTTTCTTCCAATCCGATTTCGCTAGCATACAACATACAACATTACCAAAATTATAATGTCATCGTTGATTCACAGGCTTACGTGCGCGATCAAACGTCCGTCGCCAAATCCCAGCCCAAGAGGTTCGCGTGCACTCGAACAAGGCATACTGAGTCAGGAGACGAAGCGCATTTTCAATAGCAAACAAATCCTCGTCCGATTTCTAAAAATTGATATTGATTCATAATATTACTTTTGTCGTTCCGTCGTAGAGCAATTAGCTGTGCCGATTAATATACCTGGTTTCATCCTTTGTGCAGTTAGAGTCTATTACCATCGGTAT